GGTATAATTTCGCATATAAATACATACAAATAATTTTTAATTAGGGCCGGAGACTAAAGAAAACAATAATTTAGGAAAAAATGTTTAATAAAATCTTAGATAATACATATGTATAACAAATTAGGCCTATATTACTTTACAATTTTTCACATTTACTTGATTATTACGCTGTAATTTTAACATTGTTTCCATCTCAGCGATAATACTGTGATGTTTATGAATGATGCTTGAATTTAAAGATTGAGCATTTTTCACAGCTTTGATAATTTTTTCTTTGCCTTTTATAATTGTTCTGACCAACAATTCCAGTAGATCAAACTTCTTTCCCAATTCACAAATTTTCATTTTTGTATCAAAGTCTTTAATAATAACAAGTTAAATGCGTTAGTAACGAATTGTTCGAAAAGTCTAACGAAATAGAAATAATGATGACATCATTGTCGTTTAACTCATTCGACTTTACGAACATACCCAATGTTAACTTTACATTCCAAAGATAAAGTTTTTCTTTTCTTGTTTGATGCAGAAGAATTAGTTCTACTTCGTTTGGATGACATAGTAGTCTCTCAAGTCTCCGTAGATATAACAAACACAGAAATAAATAACACAAAATAAATTGTAGCTATGTGTGGATTCTGCGCGACACATCCAAACATGTAAGCTGAACAATAGTGTGGGGGGAGTGAGTAATCAAGGGTTGCGTGGCGCTTAAACAAAAGACGAATCGACGAGATTTGAAAATCGCGTAACTCTTCACGTAAGTCGAGGTATTACTGTAAATAGATATTGTGTAAGCTTAATTCACTGTAATGTAGTGTAATATAATTATTTAGATGTATGTGACCCAGCAGAATAATCAAATATAGAAATGCTAAAATATTAAGGAGACTAAATATTTTAGCATTAAGATTAAATTGTTTTTTAAACATTTTTGCCTTATCAGATCATAACAGTAATTTGAATAAAGAACAATTTTTCAAAATTTATGTTGTAAAATAAAATTGATATACAGTATAACGTTCGAATAGCAGACACCATCGGGACCAAGAAGTTTGTCTACTTTTTTGGAGGTATATGTTGGCGGCTGTACTGTATTTTAATGGTATTTTAAAGTGGTCATCATATAGTGAAGAATATAATAGATCAATAGATTATGTAAACATCAAATTTGCATTAGGAATGTGAAAATGCCAAAATGTATATGTAGCATACATAATTAAAAAATATATATATATATAAGTATATTTTTTATCTTTTCTGCTGTACAAATCACATTTGAATTGAATTCTTAATAGCAAACAGATTGTATTGGATACTTTAATTAAATCAGGGATGTACAACCTTTTCTGAAGAAGGGCCAGGTTAGGATTAAGTTTACTGACCTGGGGCCAGACCATTTTACAATACTCTTTGTTGACACCAGGAGTCTAATTACTTTAGCTGCTGGCAGTGTTGACAATCACAGGAAGTTTATGGCTTGGTGCGATTTGAAATAATTATTAAATCCAAAACTTTCTGGTTCAGTCGGCTTCCTTTTAGTCGTATGATTCTATTTCAACTATTAATTTTCTTGGTCCAATGTAATAATTAAAAATTTTGGCGCGAAAAATTTTTTCTATTGTTAGTCTGTGGAGAAACATTGTTGTAAATAATTGTTGTTTACTTACTGGAGATCTTTCATCGAAATGTGCTTATAAACAAACGAACACTAAATTAGCTATATTTTCTGTTTTTTAACTCTAATTTTTGTTGATTGACTATTTAATAAAGCCATTAATATTTTATCTGAAACAGTTATCTGCAAAATTTTTCCCGCAAAACTCATTTCACTATGTACTGTACTAGGCCAAAAAAAAAAAAGAAAAAACATTGTATCAAATTGAATTGATTTTCTTTTTATCTGTTAGCTAGATAAGTTTTCCATCTCCCAAACAAGTTCCAAGATTCTCAAATATAGAACTTTTTCCTTTTCACAAAGTCATTAGCATCCAACTGTTTTATGACTTTCCCTGATGTTTCGGAGCAGTCGAAGTTCCTCTGTTTCTACCTAACACACTTCCTGGTTTAGATATCAAATATTTTAAGTCTAATACATAGTATTATAATGATTTTTAGAAGAATCAAATAGAATAAGTGTTGTTAGAACATCATTTCTGGTGTTACAAGGAAGTTTCTATTTTGGCGGGAAATTTTCAATTTTATGCTTCGAAAAACTTGCTTATTCATCTAAATAGCATCAAATAACATAAAAATAAGTGAAAATAGCAATTTTTTTTTAAGCATTTGTTTACATCCTAGATTCTGATTGGTATAGTCGAAGGGGCATGGTTTTGGTGGCAGTTTTTACAGGAGTCAGATTCTCGGTTACTTTTATTGAATAAAGCCAAGTCTTTCAAGCCAGAAAGTGCCAATCTGACATTAAAAGGAGTGTAAGTAATAATTTTATCATTCAATCAAATGGAAAAGACTTCTCCATAGACTTAACATAGGAAGGGTTTGTTTCACTGCATTAAAATAGCAGGACCCATATTGCAATGGAACGAGTAATCTATAGACACACTTGAAAGAAGGGATTTGGCCTGTACCTTCTGCGGGTCGCATAAACATTGAAAGGGAGCCATATGTGGTGCATCCCTGATTAAATGGAACATAAAAATTACAACAAAACTTAAACATTGATTAATTATTAATTAATTTAGGATCTAATTTATGATCTAAACCAGTGGTTCCCAAAGTGTGTTCTGCGACTTCCTCACAGGGACGCCACAAAATGTTATAAAATTTTTATAATGTTAGAATTTGTATAATGTACTTGTTGGAATTTGACACAGCGTACCTTGGGAAAATCTGCATTTAGCAAGGGTGCCTAGAATCAAAAAAGTTTGGGAACCACTGATCTAAGCGATTAATTAATAAAATCGATATAGATATTTTGTAGTTATCAAGTAGGTGTAATTTTTCAAACATTTTTGCTTTTTTCAATAAATGATTTATTAAAATCATTACTTTAACCACCACAAAGCTGTTAAGATCATAAATGCAAGAAAACTAAATATATTTTAACACTTTAAAGTGGTCAGCAAATTGCCTTTGTAACATGATCTTTGAACTTTTACAAAATAAATGCTGTTGTCTTAATTTTAAAATTGTTTCTTTTACATTACTACTGTACTATGGTTCTTGTTGAATGAATGAATAACTTGGAAACTCAGTTAAGTTTATGGTTTCTTAGTACTAGTGTTTCTCAAATGGGATCCCGGTTGTTTTTTTAACCCGGGTAATTTTTCTTATCACGGGAAATCCCGCAAATTTCTTAAAAATTCACTTTTTTTCTTATTTTGTGTTAAGGCTAAGAAATTTTGCAAATAAAAAGCATAATTATCTCATTCACTGTCAGAATACATTTGTATTTATTAATTTTAAACATACCTATCAGCTTTTTTTTAAATTTTTGCTCGTTATGGCATGTCACAAATGGTCGATAATCAATACATAGCTTATTTGTGGCAGGACTCTGAAAATTCTTTACTTGTCAGAACCTGTAATATATGGAATAATTGTGCTTACACTGTCTTAATTTTTAACCATGCCCGGTACCTTCAATAAATGCATAATGCCAGATTGTGCAAATTGGGCAAAGATACAAATGAGTATAAAGTCTGCAAGTATGAAATTTTCTTCATAAACCTCATTATTAAAGCCAAACGAATTGATGAATTATCGAGCTATAAGCTTGATGCCGCTATTAAAGCAGCCGAGGTAGACAAATCAAATATACTAGAGAGCAAAAGAAGTACTACAATCTTGAAAACGAACTCGAAATCTTTCAGGCTAGGGGTGAAAAAACACATAATATCTGTCTTCTCTTAAATGCATTAAACACGATTCCAATCGCATCAATTGAATGTAGCAAGACTTTTCATTACTAAAATAAGAATTAGAGTGAGTGATCGGAGTATCGATCATCTTTGATTTTTAAAATCTTATAAAAGTTTACAATATTTTGTATTATATTTTATTTAAAAAACCTTCTAAGTTATAATTTTGATCTAAGTTCAATTTTTAATTTTTAGCTCAATTCAAAGCATTTTTGTTGTTGTTGTTGTTTGCAGTTTCTAGCAAAACTTTAATAAATTTTTTTTCTATTTGTGAAAATTTCTACGTAATTCAAAGGTAATTTTTATTATATATCTTACACAGCATTATTAATATGATTTTGGATGATACAGAACTTTAAAATTACTTTAAAAAATGAAAAATAATTATATCATTTAATTTCAAGATATTTTGTATACCTTAAAAATAATTGATTCTATCCCGGGATCCCAGGAAAAGGGAATGGGAAACTCATTCCAGTTCACTTTATCCCGGAATCCCGGGACAAGCAAAAAACCGGGAAATGAGAAACCCTACTTGGTACCATAAGCTTAATTCTAATAATAAGACAGAAGTTTAATAACACTAATATGTATGACAATAAATGGTGATCGACAACTTGACGAGATTAGTCTTCTCTAACAGATAAAGAATATTGTTTGGCTCTTGACCTGTCCTCCTCCCCTATTACCATTTTAAGTCAGTCTTTATTTGACACCTACGGTCGAAATTCATCCTCTGAAAGAGTATTTGAGCTGAATCTTAGTTTTAGTTTTAAAATATTTCATACGTAATTAATTCTTTCAGAATATTGATGGGATTTTGTTTTCGTAAGGTAGGTTATGGACGATTTGCTATTTAGAAGTGTGAAATATAATAGATGTTCTATTTGAAGGGTCTGGGGATTGTAAAAATATTCATTAAATAGAGGTTTCGCCATTTGGAAGTGTCTGTTAATATTTTAGCATTTTTGTATTGTCTGATAAATATTTTTTTTATTAGAAACTATTCAATTATTAAATAATGATTTAATTGGTCAGAAATTTATCATTTATAATTATAATTCATAGCTACATATATTTAATAATTTCATTTTATAAATATGGATTTCTTATTCTCTGTAGATGGCAACAATATCATCCTATAACAATTCATCAACAGAGTCAAGATACTGTGGATACAACAAGACGTCACTTAGTACATTTTAGCAATCGATTAGTTAGTGATGCCTCAGTTCCTGGTGTAGAAAACATGGCAAATCCTCAACACTTTGGTGCTGATAATCAGTGTCCTATTTGCTTAAACGAACCACGATTCCCAATAGAAACAAACTGTGGTCATTTATTTTGTGGTAATTTATAAAATGTTTTAATTTTATTAAGTAATGAATACAATAAAACACATACTGAAAATATCATATTTACTCGCATATAAGACGAAGTTTTTATTAATTTTTCATTGCTTCAAAAATCTAGGTCATCCTATACGCGTGAGTGAAAAAGTCTTTGTGTTTTGGCAATAATCTTTGTGAATTATGTATTTGCATTTTTTACTGGATGCTCACCCTCTGGTATTTAAAAACAACAGTATTTAAAAACAACAGTATTTTATCTGTGTCGTTTGAATCATTCTTGTGTATTGTCAGGAGTAAAGATGAATAACAGTAGGAAAAGCAAAGCTTTTGAATTGAATTCCAATTTGAAATTCCAAAATCACACAGGAGCCTGATATGTTTTAATCCATTCCCATGTGAAAACATGATTATTCGGAAATTAGAATTTGAAGAAACTTATAAGTGTAATCGATGGAGAGTGGATCTGACTGTTAAGAATTGGCAAAAAAGGTCCTGATTGTCCAACTTTACGTGAACAAATTATATTGTCAATTTCACAAGATTTTTCATTAAAGTTTAAAATGCCAGTAATTTTTGCAGGACAATATATACATTTATGTGCATTTGACATTTTATTTGTGATTAAACAGAATAAAATAAAATTGTATTAATACATCTAATTTTCTTTATTTTGATCTTTAAAATCATGCCTCGTCTTATAAGTGAGTAAATATGGTATATGATTTTCATAAAAGTTGCACATAAATATCTATAATATTATAGAAAGTATTAAATGTTTGTGATGTTTGTTATATTATAATAAAATTTAATTAAGCAATAAGTTATTTTTTCATAATCAATTATATTTTGGTTAAAAGGTTACAAATGAATTACAATAAATATATCAAATAAAAATATTACTTAAATGTACAAAGTATTTTATGGTGATTTACAGAAACATTCTACTTGTAATAAATATATTTTAAATTTTATACTGCAATTATGAAATATTTGAATAATGGATATTATTATTTTTTTTATATAAAATTGAAAAAATTTGAAGTAAATATCAAAATAGTGAAATGTTGGTATAATGAATGCCAGTTTAATAAAATTTTTAGTATAACAAATTTATTTTGAATCCCCCATCGATTTCCTATTCAACTGAATTAAAAAATGTTTAACATAATAAAACTTCTGTCCATTACAAAAAAAAAACTTTCATTATAATGACATCCATAAATGCATAAATCATTCATTTTTCATAAATGATGGTTATTATGTTAAACAATCTGGAAACACTAATTTTAATCTCTGATTCAACTGGTTTAATTGGCAACATCAATTTTAATCCTTGGCTACGATTTTGTCTTGATACTATTACTCTACGGTTATTTCATTTAAGTTTATATGAAAAATGGAGATAAACAAAAGGAAATGAAAACAGTTTTTCTTTGGAAGAGAAGAAAACAATGACATGGAAGAAAGGAATTAAACAAAAAGATGTGCTGGATGGCATACTGGAATACTGTGCTACAATACAGTATTTTATTCAAAAACTCTAACAAACAACACAAACAAAAATTAGAGTTTAGCATAAAATGTGTTCAAGCAGCAATAATAACAATTAAAGAGTCGGGATTCCAACTAATCGGTACTACTATATTGCTATTTTAGGTGTTTACTCAATATTTTTGATAACTTTAGTTGTATTAAATACAGAAAAAAGTTTGTTCTGAAAATGAAGTTTGCTTTCATATAAATAGTAATAGATAAAAAACTTTTTAAAATACAATTTGCTTCAAAACATAAGCTTTTTTTCTTTTATTATGAACAGTTTTTTTATCTATTCATTTTTCACTGTATTTCAATGTAACAAAATTTTGCTATAATGAAAATATTTCAACATTTCACTGTGTGTGAAATTGAGCAGAATATTAAAATTTTAACAAAGAGAATAGATTGACATTGAAAGATATAGATTAGTGATATTTAGTGCAACTGAGGACTGATCACATAATAAATGTGAGAAAATTTATGATCTAAAATTATGTTTGTGTTACAAATAAAATCTTGATTAAATTGTGGATTTTATCATGCATTGGGTATTTATTTTGTAAAGTTTAGTTCATTTTGCAGTTAATAGAAATAATTATTACGTAGGGATTAATATTAATTATGATATTTAGTGGCAGTTCAAAACAATTTAACTATTCAAACTGGTTACAAATTCGTGTTTTTGTAAAATGACTGTTTCCTTCCATTGTAGCCAGATCTGTCTAGCCATAATAAAAGGTTCATTTGAAAGATCAGAGCCATGGTGCTCACATAGGGTTACAGTTTGTTAGTGGAAAAGTTTAAATCTTCAGCATGTATTTTTAAAAAAAATGCTGGACCAACAGTCTTGAGGTTTGGATTTAAGAGTAAATATCCATTGAAGATGAATAATGCCTATTCTAAAATAATTCAGAAATTAAACTATGGAATTGTAAGTTGTTTGGACTCAAAGAAAGCAGGTTTGATCTATAATTATTGATATTTGGAATCATTATTAAGATTGTTAAGCCTGATAAAGTACTTTTTGTATTGTGGAAACTAATTTCCTAAATACTGAATGTTTGGATTTTAATAATTATATCTATTGACTTCTTAGTTATTGGATTTACTTTAAATATCCGAAATTGTTTATAATGTGGTTTCTAGTTTGATTTTTGGCATAACTAAGAAATGGAGTAATGTTTTGAGATTGTAAAATAAGATTTTCAGATATTTTGAGATAATGCAAAATAAAAGAAAGATCAGAGAAATCTTTCTTAAGAGTTCTGACACCAGTTAGGATAAATTATCTCATGTCCTAACTTGTGAGTTAGTTCCTTTCCAAGTGGAAAAAGTAATTTGGAAACTTGATTAGAATTTTAGGAAGATTTTAATTGAATTGCTAATAATGTGAATTATGTGGGCCAATGATGGAGGTAGGCAAAAATCAAGACAAATTATAACTAAACAAATATTTATTTACATAAGTTACTGATCCCGTAACGCTTAAACATGTAAATAAATAGAGTAGTGCGGAATTAACGCTTTTAGGCAGATAAAA